CAATAAGATGATAAGACAATAAGATGATAAGACAATAAGATGATAAGACAATAAGATGATAAGACAATAAGATGATAAGACCATATGACATGTGACATATGGCATGTGAGATGGTGAGGCGATATGTGCGATGCGACAGACCGGTGACAGTGAGACAGCAGTGAGACAGATGACAGCAGTACCATCAGTACCATCAGTACCTACCAGTGAGCGTGTCGGTCGTGTTCATCTCCACGATGATGGTGAAGATGCTGTGCGACCTGCTGCTCTCCGCGTTCATCAGGGTGGAGGCAGTGGTGCGCGAGGCTAGTCCCTTGTCCAGCATCTTGTTGAGATCTTCTGCGGACTCGCACACCACGTCTGTTAGTCCCTTGACGTACACGCCCTTGTTGGGGTCCTCCTACGGGGGTGATGAGGGTGGGGGTGCAGGGTGTAGAGAGTGTGCAAGTCAGTTGTCGATTGTTTTCATAGCATAGGTTGTCTACCTCTGCTACCTCTGCTACCTCTGCTCCCTCTACTACCCCTCCCCCCTCCCTGCCCCCCTCCTCACCTTCAGCTCGCACTTGGGGGGGTTCTTCTGAACGCTCAGCAGGTCCTTGATCTCCTCGTTGTACAGCTCCAGGTACGAGCAGCGGATGAGGAACTGGATGTCTTTGGAGGCCTTGACGAAGCTGAAGATGTGGCTGAAGGAGTTGGGGATGACGCCCATCAGCTCGGGCACCGTGGTGGAGGGGCCCTGCATCGTGAAGCTCTTGCCGCAGCCCGTCTGCCCGTACGCGAAGATGGTGCTGTTGAAGCCCTCCAGGGTTCCCTCTATGACGCTGAAGCAGGACTCGTCGTAGAAGATGCGCTGCTGCGTGTCGTGGTCGTACGAGGCGTCGAAGGTGAAGAACTTGGTGTCCGCTGCGTTGGAGGGGTTCCGGATGGCCACCTGCCTCGCCTCCACGTCGATGTCCACGATGCTCTTGCAGTCCATCTCCTTCTCCGAATTGTTCAGAGGCCTGCAGCGCACCACCACCTGGATGCACTCGTCTCCCCTCTTGTCCTTGTCTGCCATCGCTGCTGCTGTCTCTGCTGTTCGTGTTCTGCTCTTGTTCTAGGTCCCTTCCTACTGCGCCACGAGCTCCACACACGCGGCACCGACAGACCCAGTCGCTCACACGTTCGAGGACTGCCCTACAATGCAGGGGGGCTAGATTCTGCCACGCGAACAAGAACAGGATGAGATGGGGGGTGGCCCTCCACATTCGTGTAACGTTCTCCGTTCCTAACAAAAAATGACGCCGTTTACTCACGATTTACACTGTAAAAGCGCCCAAAATGGAAAACAAGCCGTTTGAGATTAGGCGTTTCAAGTGGACCGCTCTCTGAGAAAGCTCGCCATGTCTCGCCTGACCAGATTTCCTGCCAATCAGGCGCCTGCGCAGCTGCCGGAACGGACGGAAGGGCTAGGGAAGTGCGGATGACACAGGAAGCTGCCTGCCGACACAATGTCGAGTGGAAGCGGGAGACTGGTGCAAACAAAAAGATGCGGGCAAAAAGATGTTATTATCCAGCGAAATCGTCATGAACAAGTGCAAAAACACCAGATGAGGGGCTCGAACCCACGACCACCAGCTTAAAAGGCTGGCGCTCTACCGACTGAGCTAACCCGGTTGCCATACGTTGTGTCGTACGTCACTTTTACTCTCAGTTTGGGACGTATATAAAGAAATTATTTTAGAAGGTACCTGTGGTTAGCAACGTGGCGATTGTGTTGCAGCATTCAGTGCAGGAACAGTGAGAGACGACTCGCTTTCCTCACAATCAGGCAGAGAGGAACGGCAGAGAGGAGAGGGAGGAGAGGGAGGGGAGGGAGAGGAGAGAGGAGAGAGAGGATAGAGAGAGATAGAGAGAGAGAGGAGAGATACAGAGCACGGCTTTGGCTCATGGTCAGTCACTTAACGCCCATTGCATTGCACCACTGTACTGCACTACTGCACTCACACCCAGCCCTCCAGTCTCACTGAAGTGTTGTAGTGTTAGTGTTGTAGTGTTGCAGTGTTGCAGCAGCAGAGGTGAGGACGGCACGCCTGGAACAGGGAAAGAGGGTCCTGAGCCTACACAGCCATCTGACACACGCAACACACACAGCGTACAGCATAAAGTATAGCAGCACAGCAGCATGAGCAGCAGCACAGCAGCACAGCAGCACAGCGGCACAGCGGCAGCACAGTAGATACAGCAGCAACATAGCAGCAGCACAGCAGCAGCTGCAGCACACCACAGCCATGGCCCCAGTTCACCCACAAAAGGAGTCCAAACCTCCCCAACCCGATTTTCTCCCACACCCTATGTGCCGCAGCTTCAACAAATCACTCACACGCGACAACGTCTCCCGCCTCTTTTTAGTGGGCTGCCAGGACTGCGGCTCTTCCCGGTCTGTGGCGCAGATCAGGGCTTGCTACCACGCGCAGACCAGGGCAGACCGTCGTGCGATCAGAAACGCAACATCAATGTCAACCTGCTGAGTGGGTGAGTGGTAGTGTGTGGGTGAGTGGGTGTTTTTGTAGCCCAGTCGCAGCCACCTACTAACGTACCCACACCTACTAACGCTATTACTGCATAAGAGTAGCATGCTGCATTTTGATACACACTATAATAAATTAACAGTGAGTAAACAGTGAATCTTTTCTCTAACCAATTAGTGAGTAACCAGTTAAATCGGCTAATGAGTAATAGTAGTAGTCAGTAGTAGTAGTAGTAGTAGTAGTAGTAGTAGTAGTAAGTAGCACTCTATGCTTTTTATACAGACTGCGGACGATATGCCCTTGACAATGTTACTCCAGTAACGATATGCCCGCTACAATCAAATAGTCATCTTGAACAGATTACGCATCCCCACTACGAACTTTCCGATGTCGTTGTTTCCGTTTAGCCTGTCCACGCAGGCCAGGCAGGCACTCTGGTCCAGCGCGGGCACCGTCTCCACCAGCTGGTACTGGTTGCGCGCATCCACGTACATCACGAAGTGGAACTTGCGGTTGGGGTCTGCCTCCGATATCTGCGTGAAGTTGAACTTCATGCAGTCACCGTCGGCCTTCTGGAACTCCAGGCCGAGGGCGGTGTAGTGGCGCATGCCGTATATAAGGTCGTTCAGAGACTGCTCCATCTTCTGACGCAGGAGCTCGTGCTCGCCGCGCGCCCCGTCCAATCTGCGGCTCTCGCGCTCCTCCTCCTCCTCGCATCTCCTCAGTTGCTGCTCCAGTATCTCTTTCTGCTTCACGAGCAGGCTGTTCTGCGCGTCGCACTGCTCCAGCTCCTGCTCCTGCTGGCGCTTGATGGTCTGGTTTATGGTCTTGGACGCCTCGAGCTGCCCGTCGTTATCCCTCAACGCCTGAATTGTGACATTTAACTCCTCCAACTTGTCGTTGTAGTTGTTGTCGTTCGTCTCCAGCCAGTCCTTTTGGCCGTTCGTCCATCGGCTGAATTGCAGGTTCGTCCGGTCCAGCTCCATGCGTAAGTTCATCGTCAGTGATTCCGCCATCGTCGTGCGAAGTGGTGGAGAAGGCTGTAAGGGGGGATGAGCTCTTATCCGAAACAGTCCCTCACTCTGAATTCAGCACAGACTCTCTGTCAGACGAAAGTTCCGAGGGAAAGTGCATCAAACTCATCTCTCCAGCTCTCCTGTTGCGGCGCGACCCTTTCAAAAGGGCAAAACCTCTCTCAACGGCTAGAAGCATGGGCGGCGGACCCGAAGAAGTAACTTACCGGAACCTGGGACAATCCCCTTTTTCTCCACTTTCCTGTCCTGAAGAGAGCCCTGCTGCTGCAAAAGATCC